CTGCTACCTTGTCCATTGGTCTTCGATTTCCACTTTTGCATCTTCTTCATTCTGTCTTTTATTTTGGGAGTGAAACCGTGACTCCGAAGTTGGTCTCAGGGTCTGTGAGCTCTAAGAATAACTGCCATTAGCAGCGGAAAAAAGGGGGCTCTATGCATTGTTCCTCTCTTACCCTACAAGAACTCAATAACGTTTTGTTACACACCATAGCCTGAGACTAACTGTGAATCAGGAAGTGGTGAGACGTTTGGGTGTGAGATAACTGAACATGACCTAATTGTTCTAGGACAGTGATGGTGAACCTATGACACGCGTGTCAGAGGTGACACACAAACTCATTTTTTGGTCGATTTTTCTTTGTTAAATGGCATTTAAATATGTAAAAGAAATATCAAAAATATAAGTCTTTGTTTTACTATGGTTGCAAATATCAAAAAATTTCTATATGTGACACGGCACCAGAGTTAAGTTAGGGTTTTTCAAAATGCTGACACGCCGAGCTCAAAAGGTTCGCCATCACTGTTCTAGGATATTCTTCCTCAGTAAGATAAAACCGTAAACCAGTGAATTACTCTTTACTTCAGGAAATTCTTGCAAATTAGTTTATCTGAACGAAGAGTTTGTTTGCATGGGCACACAGTTCTGCCAGTATGATAGATTGCTCATTTAATCCGTTTATTTATCACTATTTTCTTTAAGACATGTGTTGCTATATTCACCAATCCTGCAGGACTGTGTCATAAACTTTGTCTAATCTCAATTAACTCTCCACCTTGAAATATCCCCCTTAAACCAGATGACAGAATCCATAAATGCCCTCTTCTGATCTGCCTCTTGTGTTTTCTACATTACAATCAAAGTGGGTTACATGAACTCCTTTGGTGATAGATAAGGGAGATGGGAGAAAGCAAAGCGGGGAAACCTCTGGGATTGGATAAAACGTAAAATGATAGACGCATGCTTCTTTTACATAATAGGTGGGTGCAGGCTAGTGAACAGTCAACAATTAACCTCATAACAATGAGGGAATTTGTGGCCTTTGCCCTGGTGCATTGGTTGTACCCTGAGGGATCGGAAAGAGGGAAGTGACCCTGACGTTCTAAAGGTATGCTATCGTAGATGCAAAAAGACAATGGGCTCAGTTAAGATCAAAATTGATCTTTGTCAGGGAGGATACCAGCCTAGGAGATGACTACCCACCATAAACTGCTTTTAGTTAAAGTTTAATTTCAGACCGTCCTTTGTGGTTACTCTCAGTTTCTGAGTT